CACGCTTGTAGTAAATGTAGCTGTTAAAGGTTTTTTTTTCATGAGGTCATAAGGTATGTTGATAAATGTATTTGTTAGTAGGGAGTCATTATCAAACAATCACAAACCATGGAGAGGACAGGAAGATTGGGAAAGTGGTAAATGAAATCGTCAAGGCAATGATGCAGAATAATCTCGAGTGATCTGTTCCTTCTCCGTTCTTGCAGTTTCTTTGTCTTGCCCTTCTGAACCTGCTTTATAGGAATTATAAAATGAGTCCTTTGGCTTTTGGATCCATTTGCAAGCTCAAAGAAAGCGACTGTTTTCTTGTTTTGCCTAAAGCAATACAGAAAATAAGATAAGCTGCAATGTCTGGTGTGGTTATGGCTGTTTCTGTCTGAAATTGATCATCTTCCCAGAGGAAGATTCAAGCCTTAGAGTATTCATGTTAGCTGCTGGAGTTTAAAAAAATCTAGGTCTCTGGATCTTTTTTTGAATTTTGATTCTTTGTATTAATTTTATTTATTTGATTCATTCAACCAGCCTCTGGATCAGATTGCAAAGTACATCTCAGGGCAAGGAATCCCATTTCCCAAAATTGAGATAAGTGAGGAAGACAGGGAAAACTTGAAGGAGTGCTATGTGTTTGAAGATGCTGACAGCCCACACGCTCCAACAGTGCTCTTTTTCCCCCTAGTAAACGACACCTTCAAGAAATATAAAGCCCCTGGTGAGTAACCTGTGGTTAGCAATTTTAATAAAAAGTCACTTGCCTGGTGTGTCCTCTCCATTTCATATCTAGTGTCTCACTGTCATCTCTGACCTTCTTTCCACACTGACCTTATCAGTCTCATCACTGACAAAAATAACTGGTCTGTGTCACTGTGTCTGAACTGTGAGAACTCCAGAAGCTTTCCTAATACACTTGAGATAAGAATAGGTATTTACTCTGCAGGATTTACTAGAGATAGTATGAAGTTAAAACTCCCAAAATACATACAGCAAGGGTGGCAGGTCCTCAACACAAGCTGTGATACTCTACAAACATGCACTTGTTATGCACCGCTGCTTACAACAAAGAGGGAGGCAAAACCTTCTGGGGATTTCAGTGGAAGCCCATTCATCTGGGCTTTGTTCACATATTTAAAAGTAATCTCCCAGATTGAGGACTGTGTGAACATAGCTCTTTGCTTTAAATATGAACTGTGTCCTCTGACTGAGTGGCATCATTTCTCCTGAACTTTCAGTGAGAGGGTTGTTATTTCATCCAGTACAAGAGTATATTGTTGTCCTTTTGCTTGCACTTTTGTAGTTTTGGTAGCAATGACTTTGTTGTCCAACCAGGGGTTTACAAGTGCTGCTGCTGATAAGCAGCATTGTTCTCGTTCCTGGCTGTTTGTGTTTACATAAGTTTTGAACTGAGACTTGATCCAGAGTCTGAAGAATATGATGCTACTAGACTACTTTTACATCCCTCCGGCAAATCATATCTTTCCCTCCATGTCTCCCTTTTCTACCTATAATTACTTAAATGACAGACAAAAACCCTATTGGTGCATCTCTTTGTGGTTTGTTCCTCAGGTGTGGAAAGGACTCCTGAAGAGATGGCTGGAGGCAAAGTTGATGTCTCCACTATCCTCTCCCCATTTACGACAAGGGAGGTGTGTTTCAGTGAAGAGAATTTTGACAAACTGGTGAACCTGACTGATTACAACGTCCTGAATAATGAGAAACAGATCATTCGGGCCTTACGCTTGGCAGTGGCACGGAGGAAGCAGCGGAAATATTAGTCCCTGCCAGCTAGCTTTAACCTGCCACCTGGTGCTTCTTGGGTTGTCTGTTACCTGGTGAGATTGAGATGTTTGATGCTTGGCAGTGTTACTTGCAGTAGAAATCACATCATCCTGAGGACATGCAGGACTCCATCTTAATTATGTGATTGTTCCAATGAACAGTGGTTTAATCCAAAGCAAACTTCAAAGCCGCAAATTTTTGTTTAGTTTTGTTACCTTGTTACTTTACCAGTTGATATATATTCCATATAAATTAACATAGTGTTGTGTAAGATAATAATGAAATATGTAGCACATTAAAATGTGAACCAAACCCGTATGTGTATGTTTCTTTCTGTTTGGCAGAACAACAATCACTTGAACTTGAATTTTTCTGGCAAATAGCTAATCTGTTGTGTTGTCACTTATCTTAATTATTGTCGCACTGAAGGTTGTCATCTCTGATTTGATTGTCTGTCCACTATTACGTTTTTATTTAACTGGCTTTCTTCACTAATCTTTGAAAATAAGTTTCTTATGTTACTATCACTGTTGTAAAAATCTATACAGTTTTCACTATCAATAAAAAATGCCCCTGAATTAGGTCATCTTTGTTTCACGTGGTCAAATGAATCCTCTGTGCTGCTACTCACAGAACCACCTGTCGGCCTTAGTAGTAGTCACGTTGCCCAACTTACCTTCCATTTTCTCTTGGAGTTGCTGCTGACTGTCCTGTCTCACTCATCTTCACCTGCCTTGAATGTTTCTGAAAGATTTTCTTGCAATTTCTCCCAGTGTTTCCTAAGATGAGAAGTGGCTGCCAGCTGTTTGCCTTTTGAGCTCTCTTCCAGCTATGTTTTTTTTGCAAATGTTCAACACCTTTCTGCAAATGGTTGTTTTGCAGGCATTGTCCTGAGGGAGTGGTCTCATCAAGAATGCTTGAGGTCTTCGGGGGGAAGGTGGCTGCCAGAGACTCTCTTCTCACAGCCCTGCAAGAGGGAGTTCACAAGCTTGGTCTTTCACAATAGCAGCCCTGTGCACTGTGGAGCTGGGATACACGAAGGGGCTGGTCACAGCAGCTTCAGAAAATGCTTGGGATTATCCTTTCTTTTACAATAAAAAGCTCCTACTGTTGCAATGAACTGAGTCACCGGGGCAGAATCGGTGTTGAGATCAGAGTCTTGATTACGCTCAGAAGTGACAAATTTGTTTGTAGGGAGCAAAGTTCTAGAAAATGGATGGGAGAAAAGGACTTCTCTCCTATGGAAAATCCAGCTGGTGGTGCATCCTAGAGCAATACTGGGGGTGGAAGAGGAGGAGTGGGCCACGTTTTTCACCTATGAATATGTTGATTGTTTTCATGCACCTGAAAAACTTGAAAGGGCACTGTATAACCCTGTTTTCAGGTACAGTATTGCATGTTTAAAGCTAGATTATTAGCCCTCTATGTCTGAGGCAGTTGTAGTTGTGGTTCAGCTCCAGAACAGCAGAATATCTGTTCATGGGATACCATTTTTTTTGCTGGAAATGAAACAGAGCAGGATGAAAGCTGCTTCAGTCTGTTTTACAGGGGAAATTTAACAACAGGATGGAAAAAGCCAGATAGGTGGATGACACAGCCTGAGCCTGATTAACTCTGCTTTTCATCAGGGCTAATTAGTCGATCTTCTAACCGTGACTAATTACTGTACTGACATAGCTGTGCCGCATCCCAAGTCAGCGCTGGGGTATCTCTGCATTGTGTCCTGCTGGTTGATATGAAACCTGCCTTTCCCTCTCCAAGGGAGTTCCTCCTACTCTCAGATCACTCTGTGGCTCTTTTCTTCAGCTTCCCTGATATTTCAATACCTTCTGTTTGAAACAGGGCACCTATAGTGATATTTTTTTGTTTGGTTGGTTTGTATTTTTTTTTAGATTTCCAGATCATTGATAGAAACATTGCAGTAGGCTTAAAACTGAGCTGTTTGCAACCTCTTTAGGAGCAATTGCCACTGAGGGACTACTCCCTCCTTTGACTACTGCTTTTTGTGACCTGTTAGTTACCCATCCTTATTCTGTTTAACACCTGGATGACATTTGTGGCATCTGGTTCTTAAGTCAGAATGTCTTCAAATGCCAAATGTTCTATGATATTCAAGTTATAGTGTGTCTGTGAAGCTATCGTTATCAATTAGTTCTCAACTCATTGCAAAGTGAAATGAGATTATTTTGAGTTTGATTTTTCTGTTAAATTTCATAATAGCAGGGATGATGTTTTTTTGAAAAATCTCCTATTTTGTTATCTCTTGGTTACTCCTTCATTGATACTGAGACCACCTCACATGAGGCTAGCAGTGTCATACCCAGTGAAGCCTTATAAATGGAAGGACATCAAGAATAGGTGAGAACATAAAGAGTAATTAACATTAATTTCACCCTGCCAAATGTATCCTCTCTGAGGTTATTCACTTAAGCACCTTAATTCAGATGCATGAAGTAAAAAAATTGAGAAAATGAGTGAGCTTTTAAAGCTTTGCCCTTAGAATGGAAACTCTTACACTTTCATCAGGTGACTGGGGAATCATTTCTTGCAGTATTTTTCCTGCAGTAACTGCTTGGCTCAAAGATGACTCGGTGCCTGAGTTGGGCAAAATGGAAGGTGAGATGGGCATAAAAAAAAATTATTTCCAAGGTGTCTTAAGCAAAGACCTACCTACTCCCTATAGGCAATAAAAAAGCTAAAAAAAGTATTTTCTATGCACAATGGTTTGCTTGGATGTCCTTGGCCAAAGAGGTCCTTCTTGCCCACTCCTGGGCAGCCAGATGGACCCTGCCTGGACCAGCCATCTCCACACAAGGGGCTGCCTTACAACAGCCCTCTGGTGTGCAAAAGCACTGTGGCCTCCTCAAGAAGTGGCGGGGATGCTTAAAAGTATAAAGCATTTCCTTGGTGCCCATAGCTGTGAAGGCAAGATCCCTTCCAGGTCTCGATGTCCCTCGAACTACAGCTGCAAAGACCATCCTTCTGCAGTGCCGGAGCCTGGGTCTCCGCGCCTCCAGGGCAGTGAGGAGGAGGAGGAAGAGGAGGAGGAGGAGGAGTTGGGGATTGCTCAAGTGATGGTGTGGGGTGAGGCGGCGCTGAGTCAGGCACTAACACACCTGCCTGCCTGCTCCCGGCAGCTTAAAGCAGGAGAAGCTGCCCGGCTGAGACTTCTCCATACCCATCTGCTGCCACCCTTCGCACCTGGCTTGGAGGCAGGAAAGACCACAATGGGACTGTTCTACAGTAAGAGCCAGGTAAGAAAAGGGAAGAGGAGGCTCTGAGATGAGCTGTGCAGGCAGCCCCTTGGTGGCAGAGGGGACTTGCTGTGGGAGATGGTGTTCCACCTCCTGTGTCTTTAGCTCTGAGATTTCTTCTTCAGCCCTAAGGCTGTGAGCGAAGCGGGGCTTCTGTCTGGGTTTTCTACCAAATTTGTGTTTTGACCTTCAGAAAGGCAAGGACTTTAATGCTGCAGCAATTTAACTATTTTGAAAATCCCCAATTAAAAAAAAAGATCTTTTTGTACATTGCTGTTGTCCTTTGCCTCCATCCAATTGGGCTAGACAAAACAAGCTACCGAGGGAAAAAAAAAAGGAGGTATTAGTGATGTCTATGAGTGCCTGGGGAAAGCCAGGAAACTAACATTATGTGAGGTGTTAAATATAGCTCTCTTAAACGTTGTGGGAGATTTTATGCATAAGGGAATGAATAGTGACACGTTGTTATATATTGATCTACGTGTTTGTTGCAGTGATTTCCCTGCTCTATAGGTAGTGTGCATGAACTGTCTCTTATATGTGTTGCATCACGTCATAGTTTTGCTCTTTCTTTTTTACTTCTCTTGGTGGTGGTTGTTTTTGTTGTTGTTGTTTGCCATTTTAAGAGGTTCTTTTGAGGTTTTTTGGTGGGTTTTGGTGGTTGTTTGTTTGGTGGGGTTTTTTTTTACATTTAGATCATATAATGTGCAGGTATTCCTCCTTCTATTCCTTTAAAAAGACAATTAACTAGGGAACAAGATACCTCACCTTCAGCCCCTACTTTTGATTAAGTACCATGTTTCTCTGATCCTTGCTTAGGACAAGAGAGGATGACAAAATCAAACCAGTTTCTTGACAGGTTTGTTGAATGTCTTTTGATAACCACTTAGGTTTAGGTGGTTTCCCAAGATTTCCATTGATAGTTATCAATTGCTGTGAATTTTGCTTAAAGGAAGATTGGATCAGCTGAATTATTCAGAGAGACGTAATTACAGAGTTGGTGCTTTCTCTCCCCCTGCCTGAGAAGGTTGGGATAGGTCTCTGGAAGACACTTCTCTGGTCCTCATTGTCTGAAAGCCAGCACTGCTCTACGTCAAACATAACAATGGAGTCATATACCTATAAACCAGATGATGAGCAGCATCATTACACCATGATATCGTTACTAATTCCTGCCCTGCTAGATTGTCTGCTGTTTGTTGTGAAATATAGTGGATATATACGACATCCTTTGAGTTTGCACAGACCAAGATGTGTGTCAGCTGTATTAATAGCACAGTGAGGCTCACTATCATACGCTTCTCTGTGATTGGGTTGTAAGCGTCAGACACCTCAAGTTGAGGGTTACCACAAGTTTCTTCAGAATGGAAAATGGAGGACATCAGAGGTTTGGTTTGTGATTGAATGTACATTTTGGGTCTCTGGCCACACCTGGCTGCAAACCTTCCTGGGAAGAAAGAGAGGACAATGCACAAGGAAGATTCTGAGTTCAGAAATGTTTTAGATGATTGAAGTGAAATATGTAATTCAATGTTATCTCTGACTGGGCTTCTGTTCTTTCTCTCTGCATGCTCATCCACGTGTTTTGTGTGCTGTTCAACAGACAGAGCCCTCTCCATGCAACTTACTCACTGTGAAAATCATACGGATGAAAAATGCCAGGAAAGCAGACTTGTGTGAGTATCTTTGCTATACCCTTGGACAATCTACATGCTTGTAAAACTACTTGGAGTACAACCAAGTGTCACAAACACTTCAGAGTATTTACAAAAGCAGAGAGGGAGATGTGTGACTGTGGTATACTGAAGATGAGGTAGCATAGCTAGAAGATATTATATATTCTTCTATCTTTGCCAGTGTAATGCTGAAGTCTAGCCAGCAGTAGTAGATCAAAAGACGTTTGCACAGAATGCATAAAATATTTGACATCTGGATCTGCAAAGAAAGGATTTTTCATTCACAGGAAAGTGTGCAATAAGAAGTTTAGATAGGGCACTTCTTTCTCTGGTTCCTTCTTACAGTAATGTCCACCCTGTACATCCCTGGGCCTATTGCAGAATATTTTATGTGAGCTCAGGACTGCATACTTGACATCTCTCATAGACTGTCAAACTTGACTCAGCCATTGGAACAGCCATGTTTCAAAACTTAGCTGTGGGTTTACACTGTTAGCTTTTTATAGTCTTAATTATATTTACAAAATGTCCAGGTATGATAGTTATATAAGAATTTATTAATACTCCACAAACATCTGAACTGCAAAGCACTAGAAAAAAATACTCTGAATGACAATCACCTCCAATGTGAGGACGTAGCTGGTTGGCTTGCATGTATTCATTTATACAAATAAGATGATCTGAATCCAGAAAATTTCTATAGGAACCAGACCAAGCTAAATTTGTTCGGTTAAAGCAATGCAAGATAAGACATTTGTTTGGGCCTTTCCAGAGTGATTGGTTTGAGTTCTGCTACAGTTTCTCTAGGTGTATGAAGAAGAGTTGCTCACTTTGATTTGTATTGAAGTAAGATGCTTCGTTGTTGCTGGATGCACGGGGAAGAAGAGTCTGTATGAACCTTCCCACTGGAGTACTTCTAAAGTGTGGAAAGGAGATCTGAAGCTCAGTTATGGGCTGGAGAGAAATCTCCTGCTACACCTTAAACCTATTTGAAGGTACAAATATGCTCTCTGAACTGAAAGAAAGAGGTGTGGAGAGCTACAGGCCTTGGATATCTCCCCACATAATCGTGTTCTGCTAAACTATCTGCATGAGAACGAGCTTACCAAACTTCTCTCCACCTTTTACTCATCTACATCAATGCGTTTTTTTTTTCTTGCTTTTTTTTTTTCTTGAGACTATTTTTATTCTGAAGGGAGTTTCCTGCATTTTGATGCTACTTTTTCCAATACTACAAAGTTTCTAGAGTAAGGGACAGGTACAGAAATGCTCAGCCATTTCTGCTTCCCAGTCCACGATGTGTCCCACCAGCCCATGAAGCGTCTTGAAGGAGCAGATTGAATGACAGAGGTGCTTCCAGAGCATGGCACAGGGTCTGGAGCAGCAGTAAAGCCACAAACAGGGGTTTTCCAGCCTGAGGCTGTTCTGCCTAACGCTGTGAAGCATATACTGGGTGTTGCTTGCAAAACAGAATGACAGACACTCACCACCAACATTGCCAAGCCATCATTTGTTTGAAATGGTAGTATCAGTCAAAATACTGAGGGGTAAAAAAATTTACACAAACAAACCAAAATCGATACTTGCAAAAGGTGAATGCTTTGCTTGTTGGGGACTTCCATCAGGTAGGAAAAGAAAATCATACCAGTCATGGCACTGCCTTGCTTACGTTTAATTGTTGAATCTGATTTTGATTGAGAGCTGCTTAATTCCAGTAATATTTGATTTTGCTGAGCGTAAAATTTGCCAGTTGCATTTATCAGAAAGATCTGCTTTTAAATCATTTCAGGATGTAGTTTTCCATACAGCTGGACTTGAAGCCACATATTTCAATGACACACTTTTTATTATATAAAGTAAACCTATATTTCAACTGTTTTAATGAATCAATTTAACCTCCGGTTAAACTCACTGGCAATGTAAAAGCTAATGCAAATTGTGTGTTGGTCACTGTACGTGACTTTCACTGAGCCTTAAGTTAAAAAATATGCCACTTTTACACACAAACCAGCAAAATATTGTACAAATGGGGGAATATTTTTGAGATGTTTTGGTCATCTTTACAGTTCCCCAAAGATTAGCTTGGCACAGCCCTAGGGAACCCAGAAGCATGTGGATCTTCACCACCAGAAATGTAGACTTCTATACAGTATCAGTTTCCTAACACTGATTTTTTTTTTTTTTTTTAATCTCATTCTTCTCTTTCCCAGCTCTGTTTTTATCACTTTTCCTGCAATTTTTTCTAGATAGAAGAAGTTGGCAAGTGCCACCTATTTCTCAATCGTTTTATAGATTGTCAACATTTTAAATCAGGTCCTTCTGTCTCTCACCAGTTGTGCCCATCCTTTTGTTTCTGAAGTGAATCCCATTTTATTTTCTGCTCTCAAGATCCCTCCTTGCACTAGTTTTCTGTAGAGTTTTTGGATCACTTGGTTTAATACTCATCTAGTGTTTAGAAGGTCTCCTGGTGCCACAGGTGAACTTTATTATTGGTCTATTTGCTCCATTTTCCATGTAATGGAGATAGGAAAATGAATCCATAACAGTATGCTCTCAAAACCTCACTAGCACCTCCCATGGAATATATAATGCAAGACCTTTAATGGAAGTTCAATGCATAAGGTTTATTATCCAAGACAAATTTTCATTCTGCTTTTTAAACCCTGAATGTTTTTAATGCACCCTTGTGATATTCTGTGTAAATTATGACACTAATTTCCACTTGTGTACTGATGCATAGCTGATGTCATTGACACTACCTGTGAATTTAGTGCCTTGTTTGTGTTCTCCGCATTCCCCCTTCCCACTGAGCACACCCACGTTCCAGTCAGGCTCATTGGGGCTCTTGATATTCCTGGACTTGTGAACACTTGCCAGTTCCCAGATTTGGGTGTGTCCCCCATCTGCATCCTGACTCCCTCATGGGGTGAGACTTGGATGTGCACCAATCCAACCCACCCTTAAAAACAGGGCTTTCTCTGCAGAGAATTTCAAATTTCAGTCTCAGCCTCTCAGAATCCTTGGGCAACCACCATAGGCCCAGAACACACAGAAGGGCATGTCTTTTCATAGCGTGTGGTTCAGCTGCGGAACTCCCCACAGCAGGAGATCACGGATGCCAAAGGTTTATGTGGGTTCCAGGTGGAGACTGGACAAGTTCATAGGAGAAAAATCCAGTGAAATTGTGTGGGCTGAGAGAGCATTAAATGATGCTTGCCCTCTTACACTCTTCCTTAGACACCTACCACTAAGTTCTCCTCTGACACTGATGTCCATCCCTAGCAAGACCAAAGATTCTTCCCCAAAAAAGACAAAGGGGCTGAAGAACAAGGTACTGGAGAGAAACAAAATCATTAAGTGGAATTAATAAATTAAGAAAACCCACCCAAATCAGAGTGTTAATGGTTAAACAGAATAGTAAAAATAGGGAACTGGATGGAGATGCCAAGCTGAGCAATTTTAAGCCATCATACCCTGCTTCCTGAACACATCCAACCTCCTCAGCGGACACTGCCTGTGGGCCCTAGGTTAAATGAACCTCAACTGGTGTAGCATTAAAAATATTTTAAATATTGTTCAGCATTTTCTTAGTAAGAAAATTATATATGTTAAGCTTTTATGGGTTTTTGTGGTTTTTTTTGGTTTTGTTTTAAATTAGGTTTGTTATCTTTGGAAACTTTCAAGGTTTGGACTTTTTTTTATATAAGGCTTATATTATTTTGGGTACAATATTTTATAAAATTAGTAAGTATATTTTGTATTTTTATCAAAAAACCATATTTTATGGCATTGGAGTAGCAGAAGTTCTGCCATATATGAGATCAATTCATGGAAAGGGCCTTGAGATCCTAAAAAGAAATATAGCCAGTGAAATATTATTGTTGGAGGAACTATGGTCCAATGGGATATTTATTGCAGGAACCTACAGACTTCCTCCAGTGTTTTGTTTTTGCACTGTTGTTATTGTTTCGTTGTTACTTATTACTTACTTCACCATTTAAGCAGTTGCAATTACATACCAAGAGCCTATTGTTCTAGGTGTTGCTTGAAATCTCATTATAAAATAAAAGGATGTGGACTGATAAAGCTTGACAAAGGAGAAAACAGTGGAAAAAAAAAGTAAGGTTACTTAGCAACCTCTCAGCAAAGGGATATTTTAAGGAGGGATGAAAATGGGACTGATGATACTGTTATAGGGATACCTGTAGGGTCCTTCACCCAGTGTGAAGGGCAGGGTGGGAGAAAGTGTGAAAGCTTTTTGTTGAAGTTTAGCAATTAGGAGACTAATGTTGAATGCTGCCTGGAGGCAGGAACTGATCTCCCAGGTCTGAATGAATTCTGATAATCTGACTATGAAGAGCCTTGAGAAGGAAGATGCTTACTTTCACAGAAGTAACCCGCATTCTTATTTAAAAAAGAATATAAAAGTTACAATAATCTAAATTGACTAATATTCTGCACTCTAGAAAGCAGCAATGCCTGCCTGTTCCACCCACCCTCAGCCAAGGTGAGATCTCTGAGATCTCTGCTCAGCTCCTCAGTGTGGGAGGAAGAAGAAAAATGACCAGCTGGTGGTCATAGTTTGTATTTTGTGACGTGGATGCGCCCAAGTGAGGAGAGATGTGATACAAGGAGATAATCTGGGCTAGCAGTGTGTGAGACCACATTAGTGGTCTGTATCCCTTCAGCCCAATAACAAAAACAATACCCTAACAGTCATGAAAAAAAAAAATCAAAAATCTACCCCCTAGAAAAAACATATAACGTGAGCACTTAAAGGCAGTCCAAGCGGAGGAGGATGTCCAGGTTTCTGCCCAGGTTACTAACAGGCTGGAGGTTGTGTCTGTTAGCACCCAAAAAGGAGGTAGAATTAAAATTAAAATTTTTTGGTTTAGCCCTGTTGGAATTTGAGCTGCCTCTGAGGCAGGTGAGGTTTTAGCTCCAGCCAGAGCAGCTGGTGCCTTGCTCTTGTCTGGGATGCAGCGCGGTGCTGGGCCTACGGTGCTTCTCAGTGTGGGTCATGTCGCTGCAATGCCTTCTAATGGTGAGGCACAATTAAGATCCAGTCCTGCTGCTATCCTGGAAGATAATTAGAAACTTAGTGTAATAACTGGACGAGGAGACCATGCTGTCATAAATACCTGCTGCCACGCCTGCTATTTGGCAGGATATTGCCCCACAGTGATACCACGGCTGCCACCCCAAGCATGTTTGACAGCCGCTCACGTGTCGTGGTCGAGGGGAGGGACACAACAACTGTGTGTGTACCGTGCAGGAGCCTAATCACCGTAGTTAGGTGGTGGTTAGGCCTTACGTACCTGGGAAATGACGATTTGCTGGCACGTGGCTGGAGATGGGGTCTGTGCACAGGGAGAGGCCCTTGGTACCAGGCAACGGGGCACTGTGGTGTGACCGACCGGCTGGGGCACGAGATGGGCTGTGGGGTTCCAGTCCCCACATCTGCTTGTGCCTGCAGCTGGTTGGGCAGAATATAGGCCTGAGGTACTCCAGACGTCTGAAAAAGAACCCTTGGTGTTGTAAGGGCCTCCCTCGTAACACCTGGAAAATGCTTTGCGAACAAGAGGTAATTAGGTTTCAGAGGACGTGTCTGAAGTACAAAAGTCATCGTCCAACATATTTTGCAGATGGGAAGAGGGCAGCATGCTTGTCTAGGGTCTGTGTCAGAAGTCCCCCAGAGAAAGTCAGAGATCTAAGTGAGAAGCCAGGGCCCTGCTGTCTGACAAGCCATTATTTATTAGAGCAGTAGGATACAGCACGGTAGCAGGCAGTGATCACTCACAGAAAAAAAAAATAATTAATGGACTTTTGAAAAAATACTTTGTTCTTCACAACAGATGTAGACAGAGCATGTATTGCTATTTGGGAAATATCATTGAAATAAACTTTGACTCACTCACAGACTTAAGGAATCGTGTCCTTCTGGTCCTCCTACTGGGGACAAGAGCGGACAGCAGTCTGTGCTAATAACAATCTGGACTTTCCAAAAGCCAAAAAATATTTTCATATCAACATTTTCTGTAGGCAGATGAAGTTTGGGAGCTATAAGGACTGTTAGAAGCTCAAGGGATTCCTATGTGTATTAATATTTTATTTTTTTTAGAATTTAGATATCTTTGTACATACCACAACTACCTTCATCAGTCAAAGTTACTCTTTTTTAAACTGAGAATTACTCAAACAAAGATGACTTAAGTCTTGGGGGAGTCAGTTACATATGGAGTGCAATAAAGGGCCAAGTCAATTATTCTGTGTTTCCCAAAGTCAGGTCTGCTGGTAAAACTAAGTGGGACAAGACTTAAGTTTATTCAGATGAATGTGTGTCTGCTGTGCAATGAGAGGAATGCTTGAGTAGGTGGTGTTACAAATAGAGGAAATATAATACCAATGATGGGATTGGCAATTTACAGGCAGTACTGCCCCATGCTATCTTTGGCACTTGTGTAGGTTGTCATCCCTAACTAATAGATCGTGTTCTGTAGGGTGATCATCCCTGACTTTTGAGTGTGGGTTCACAGTATTCTTAATATCATGATTCACATTTGCCTTTTATTTCCTAATAACAATGACAGAACGTATTTGCAGCCAGATTATTCTGACCTCAGAATGAAAATGCTTGTTGATGACGTAAGCACCGCAGTTGGCTGATAACCACTGTTTAATACCCGAGCTTTGGCTCTGAACATCGCTCACCCACCCACAACGGAACTTGGGTAGGAAGCCAAACTTTACAGCTGGCCTCTTCAGCTGAGAAAGGAAAACAAAAAACGCGAAAGTTGCCCTCCCTCCATCTGGAAACACTGAAATACATGGGTGAACTTTATGACCTGAGCACGCCTCTAATTGAGACAGCACAGCAATGCAATCTTATGCAAAGCAGCAACGTCAGCTCGCTCTGTGTGGGGAAGCACAGACAAGCTTTCACCTGCACAGCACGTGTTGCAAATACCTTTAACCGCTCAGACCGATGCATAGAGATCCAGGTGAAAATAGTGGCATCCAGCAATAGTTTTTATACAGCTTTACAGGTGAAAGATCTACCTCAGAACAGCTGCTTCTCAAAGCAAATGCATCAAACTATTCAACATTTCAACGCTTCTTTTTATATGTGCTCATTTTAATCCACTTCACAGAAGATTAAATACAATTCATCTCCAAAATTATTTTTTTTTTTTAATTTTTTTTTTCTTTAAATGGAAGTCCCCATCACAGCTGCTGCTGTTACGCTGTTCGTGTTCCCAACAGGCAGCTGAACCATCCATGATGCCCAGCCTGATGGGACTGCCATGTGTGTGCATGCTCCTGTGCCTACGGATGGCTCTTCAGCATTAAAACCTTTGGAGTCTGATAGAAATAGACAGTTTTGCCGTGGATCTCTTGGAAAAGGAATGCAATGCAACTGCGTATTTTGAATGTTTATTGATTTTGCAGCAATTAAAAGAAGCAGTTCTCAAGAAGAGCAAACTGCCAGGCTTTCACAAGAGTAAAGCGAGCTGGTTGTCTAGCACTGGCTTGATGGTACCTTAGCTGGCATCCTGGCTTGTGTTCTCCATATTGTCCTGTGTATGGAGCCTAAAAATTCACACAGTGCAACATCTCATGGAGTACCTGATTTGTTTCATTGGTCCATTGCTTTCATGCTTTCCCTCTCTTCAACAGTAACCCAGTCTGATTGCTATGTGAACCTGAGCCTGCCAACAGCTTCAGTGCAGCAGTTTCGCACCAAGACAGTCCAGAACAACAAGAACCCGACATGGAACGAGACCTTCCACTTCACCATTCAGAGCCAGGTTAAGGTAGGAGTGTGGCTGTCCCCAGTAGATATTCTTACCCGACATCAAACCTACCATATAAACCTTCCACTCTGCGGGTCTGTCTGAGTTCCCTTATGAAGCATTCACACTCTCTTACTGTAGCTATTTGGCTTTTGATGGCTGGATAGGACACTATCTGCCTGCATAGTCAATAGAGTGGAGCTATCTGCCTGCAGAGTCAATACAGAACAGCTGACAACGTCAGCTCGCTCTGTGTGGGGAAGCACAGACAAGCTTTCACCTGCACAGCACGTGTTGCAAATACCTTTAACCGCTCAGACCGATGCATAGAGATCCAGGTGAAAATAGTGGCATCCAGCAATAGTTTTTATACAGCTTTACAGGTGAAAGATCTACCTCAGAACAGCTGCTTCTCAAAGCAAATGCATCAAACTATTCAACATTTCAACGCTTCTTTTTATATGTGCTCATTTTAATCCACTTCACAGAAGATTAAATACAATTCATCTCCAAAATTTATTTTTTTTTTTTAATTTTTTTTTTCTTTAAATGGAAGTCCCCATCACAGCTGCTGCTGTTACGCTGTTCGTGTTCCCAACAGGCAGCTGAACCATCCATGATGCCCAGCCTGATGGGACTGCCATGTGTGTGCATGCTCCTGTGCCTACGGATGGCTCTTCAGCATTAAAACCTTTGGAGTCTGATAGAAATAGACAGTTTTGCCGTGGATCTCTTGGAAAAGGAATGCAATGCAACTGCGTATTTTGAATGTTTATTGATTTTGCAGCAATTAAAAGAAGCAGTTCTCAAGAAGAGCAAACTGCCAGGCTTTCACAAGAGTAAAGCGAGCTGGTTGTCTAGCACTGGCTTGATGGTACCTTAGCTGGCATCCTGGCTTGTGTTCTCCATATTGTCCTGTGTATGGAGCCTAAAAATTCACACAGTGCAACATCTCATGGAGTACCTGATTTGTTTCATTGGTCCATTGCTTTCATGCTTTCCCTCTCTTCAACAGTAACCCAGTCTGATTGCTATGTGAACCTGAGCCTGCCAACAGCTTCAGTGCAGCAGTTTCGCACCAAGACAGTCCAGAACAACAAGAACCCGACATGGAACGAGACCTTCCACTTCACCATTCAGAGCCAGGTTAAGGTAGGAGTGTGGCTGTCCCCAGTAGATATTCTTACCCGACATCAAACCTACCATATAAACCTTCCACTCTGCGGGTCTGTCTGAGTTCCCTTATGAAGCATTCACACTCTCTTACTGTAGCTATTTGGCTTTTGATGGCTGGATAGGACACTATCTGCCTGCATAGTCAATAGAGTGGAGCTATCTGCCTGCAGAGTCAATACAGAACAGCTGAAAAAAATTATGGTTTATTCATTCTTGAACTTCTTTCCCAATTCCTTCAGGTAAAATGAAATATTAGCGGGATGTTGTTGAACCTTATATAACCTTTCTTGTAAAATTTTTAATTTTCTAATCACAGAACATTCTGGAGCTAAAAGTTTGTGATGAGGACAACATAACTCAAGATGACCATCTCCTCACTGTTTTCTTTGATGTCTCCAAAATCCAGCTTGGAGAAAACATTCAGCTGTCTTTCCAGCTGAATCCACAGGTACAGATAAAATTCAAGGACAAAGCTAAGGGGCTGTGGTCAGGTGAGGCTCAGTTTTCCTCTCACGTGTCCCATGTACGAGCCTTTCTTACTGTCCATTTAGCCACCTGAGTATGCCCATCTGTTTCAGGGGCTGATGCCCGGTGATGCTTCTGTAATTACAGCAAATTTTGGGTGCTGCTTCTACAATGTTATTGGATGTGATTGTCTGGTTGCTGTCCCTGACATCAAAATATCAAGAGCTTACCCCTATAGTTTTGGATGTCCCTTTGCAGTCAGAGCTGGTGGTTCTGAGCTGTGTGTTGTGTTATGTTATGTTAATATAAAAGTAGTGATCTACAGTCACAAATGGCAAACCCAATGTGGCATTCAGCTTATTTGGAACATGAGCGTAACACTTGCACAGTTGAACTATTTAAAAAAGTGAGTTTTTCAGCACGTCTCGATTTCATGTTGTTGAGGCAACTTATTGCTGAAGTTTTAAGGGTGGTGTTTAGGCCTAGAAATACTTAGCTTGAGTGAGTGCTGATTTGATTTGATACCTGTTTTGAAAAGGCTGGCTCTCCATGCTGTATTTATCTTGATGCTCACACTAGGAGGGCAAGAAGATAATGGAAGTGGCACCAAAATCTGCAAAGGAGGAAAGAAATCTTGGCGGGGGCAGAACAATTACAAAAGTCAAAGAGGAAGTCTTGAGCACACAATGATTCTACATGTGCAGGCTCCATGAAACCAACATACACCCTCCAGAATACCCTGGGCTTCATATGCCTAAGTGTGCTGCCATGCTAATGTGCCACCAGGCCCATCTGCACGGGCTGTTGGTCAGGGCCTGGAGAGGGGCAGGATGGTTTGGATGCACTGGAGAAATCCAGGCTCACTCATGCTAAGGCCCAGCAGGGACTGTGAGAGCCTGTGGACAGGGAAGGGAAAGGGGAGTTGCAGGTGGTCTGTGAAATGGGAGCGGTGAACCTGTAACTGCAGAAAGGGGGAGCAAACGCCCAGAGGCCCTGTGGTATGTTTTACATTTGTCCTGCAAGGAGTTTGCTAAAATAAAGAATATGATGTTAGAAGTATGTGGTACTAGAAGTATAACAGATGCATCGTGAAGAAAATTGCCTGTTGCATGTGCAGTAAAAAAAGGTGGACACTGGCTTATAGAGACCTCTGAAGGCCGCAAATTCCTGTAGGCTATCTCCTCTCCCGGAAGGGCCAACCTGCAGTGACTGCCTTCATTCTCTTTTGCAGGGAAAAGAGGAGCTGGAGGTTGAATTCACAATGGAGAGCAGGTGCGTGAGGTCAAATAGGTGATCAACAGAAATGCAAGTCAGAGGCAAAATATTACTGACACAAAACATCAGTTTACACTTGCAGGCCCCCAACTCTGTCACTGTCTTAATAAAACAGAGGGGGACTCTGGGTGCTCAGGAAACGCTTGTGGTAGGGTATTTTATGCAGAAGGGGTGCGTGACAGTGCATGGTGTGTGTGCACCTACACAGGGCATCCAGACACACGAAGTGAGCACAGATGTGATGTCCCTCATAGAGATGTCCCTGGTGGCTGCTGCTCACCAGGCTGCATGGGGCATTCTGTACAGGAGGAAGTTTTCAGTTTCAAACCCCACTTGCTCCTTACTGTGGGATCCCAGATGTTTGCTTTGTCATAAGGATGTGGGAAAATGATACTTGGAAATTTTTTTATTTGTGGGAATAGATTAAAAAAGTTTTTTACTGTGTTTCTGTGCTGACTGTACAGTTAATGAAGAGAATGGGCATGTAAATCAGTCCTAGTGCTGCTGTTGATTTTTAAGGTAAATGGTAATATTTTTTCCTTTTTTTGTTATGGCACATTGGATGAATTTAACCAGTTTTTCAGCTCCTATCCCCCAGGTTTGAACTGATCGATATGGGGAATAATGTAATTATGCCATCCCTGTGTAAATTTGCTTCAGTGTGTCGGAAAAGGATCCTGTCTGATCTAGTGAGGAGCTCCTCCATTTGGCAGGTCTCCATAAATAGTTTAAGTTGAGGCTCAAGCCTGTCAGATACAAATTGGATTGAATCTCCAGCTAGAATTTCTGATGCTCTTTGGCCATGCTGCGTCTCCAAAGACAGACTTTTAAAGACAAAGATAATGTAATAATGATTAAAGAAGAGTTTAGAGAAAAAAGAAAAAGAAACAAACGGAAAAAAAGAGAGTGCTGGTTTTGAACTGATTGTTTTCTATTTTGTCTTTTAGTCCGGATCCTCCTGAAAACATTGTAACGAATGGAGTTTTAGTGGTAATTTTTATTTCGTAATCCTTTCCCTGCCGTAGAGCAGTGCTTATTGCAAAGCTAGGATTAAAGGTGTGGGGCAGTTGCTCCACACGGTGCTATGAAGGCATGGGCCGAGAGGCAAGCTGACACAGGTGTTGGTGATGGCTTTCCCATGTGGTCCCCGCTAGTGACTCACACTGGTGGAGCCACAGCTGTGAAAACCATGAGCTGCCACCCAAACCGAGCTGGGCTCAGGCTGACACTGTCCCACCGTCTGCCCGGGAAGAGCTGGGATGAGCACCCTGCCCCGGGAGCCTTCCCCTGTGGCCAGACCTCCCCCAGACCCTCGTGGGGGCTGTTCCTCCAGGCGGGAGTGAGAAGGTCCCTTCTCCTTCCTCACTTCTGTTATGTGGAAGCCCAATGCCACCTCCCTAGTCCTGGTGGGGGGGATTGTAAGCTGGCACCATCTCTCCCCTGGGGCGCACACCCCAAGCTCCTCAAGGCCCTCACAGGCCGAGGCAGAGCTCTGCTGACAGCGAGTGCCTTTTTCTCTGTCCCTGGTTGTCTCCCACAGTCCCGGGAAGTCTCCTGTTTGGACGTGCAGGTGAACGACGGGAGGCTGAGGAAGGACAGTACAGGTGAGCCTTTCACTGAATTACAGAGCAAAGCTGGATGCTGCTTTATGGCAAAAGCAGACAAGGTTTTTCACTCAAACACCCTGGTTTAAAGTTCTGTAAGATGCAAGACAAAAATCTCACTGATGCCTGTGGCCTGCGGAAGGGGCTGTAGTTGGTCAAAAATACACAGATTGCTGGAGAATGTAGTGTGATGAGCACATGGTCTGGTTTCTCCACAAAATACTTTCCTCTATAATAACATCTTGTCAGATGCTCGTAATTTTCCAAAGTGTTTGTGCAGGGAATTGAATGTTTTTGAGTCCTAAACTGGAGCTAACTCCTGCTGTTTCTGTACTAAGAGACAAAAAAAATAAATGAGCAGAATGAAGACCGGGCCTCTTTTATCAGTTTAACTTCTTAAAATTTCTTTAGGCATAACAATATAAAACATGCCACTGGGTGAAACACGAGACACATAGTATATTACCAAAGCCATTTGTTGCACGTTTTAAGCAGTGCTTCACTACCATGTCGAGTCCATTTTTGTGGACCTGTGTATCTCCTATGCAGTTCTTAAACATCTCACTCTGACATCCCCTGATGGCCCGTCCAGCAAACTGCTTAAGGACTCAGATGATCCAGCTGAGCTCAATTGTCACAGTGAGGAAGTTTGCCAGATGTGGCTGAAAATGCTTGAGTGAGATAATTATTTTAAAGATGGATTATATACCTTTAAGTGTGTGAATTTACAGAGTGTATTTCACCTTGAACCTGGGTTGATTCCGTTCCATTCTATCCTTTTCTCATTGAAAAAGACCGTTTTTCAATTACTTGAGGAGACATATCTGAGGTTTATTATATGAAGGCAAAACCCCACCAGACGTTATTTTTGTAAGTGCTAGAAATTATTTCAAAAGAAGTGTTACAGGTGGAAGGAAAGGGAAACACGATAGAAGGACTGAGACTTTGCTGGTTCCAAAGAGAACTGTGCTCTCCTACAATAGCAAACAGTTCTCCCAAAAGTCTGAAATTTTCAAAATACTTTATTATTATGCTGGAATGGTACTTTGGTACCACATACTGTCTTACTGCTGAGGTACTTTGAAAATGTTAGTCTTTCAGGAGAGAGCACTTCTTTCTGCCAAAACTGTTATCAGCTGTGAATCATTATCTAATGAACAGAGTGGCAGTCTCAGCAGTCAGGGTGTATATGGAAGTGCAGTGGTACTATAGCAACAGTGACTAAATGGGGCATGTTCTGTACATGAGCTCTGAAGCTGAAACTCAAAGGCTTAGACAGGTAAGTCTATTTTTGCATTACTGTGCGAATTACCCACCGCTTTCGGAAGAGCTTAAGTTTGAAACTCCTTTGCTCCAGACAGAAAGTTTGCGTTGACCGTGGACGGGTCGTATGAAGGAACCCAAACCCACACGCTGAGCTCCTGCCTCTGCCCGACCTCCCCGGCCAGGTTCCACTACATCAAGTACAACCAGTCGGCGCTCACGGTGGCTCTGCCCCGGCGGAGGCGGCTCAGCAGGGTATGTGACTGCCACTAACCTCTAGCTTCCTCTTCGCTGTCTATTTCTTTGGGGACTTCCAAGACCTGAGTGTGTGTAAAGGTCTGTGTCTGCAGGGAATTGCTACGTGCCTGTATGTAAGTGAGGTAGGGGAGACTGCTTTAACCTCTTTTCCCCTCCCCCTTTTTGTATAGTGGTTAACTGTCATTATTTTTTTACCTTTTTTTCCAGTCTATATCCAGTCAAAATGAAAGGGATCTGAATGAGTCTGTGACTCTAGCTCTGAACTCGCTTCCTATACAAGAGAAAATAACAATAGCAGAGGTGAGAACACGTCTTTCTTAATAAAATCCAGCCCAACACAGGTTCAGTTTGGTGGGTGATGATTCAGTTCCTGTTAGACATGACACGTATGAATGACAGTCACCTTGCAACTATGCAATATGTATTTTTTTCTTTTGTTCTCCATGTGGTTCCAGGCATGCCCATCAACCCTGTTCTGAGTTTAATTTCCTCAGGACATATCTAGTATGTTCATCAACATAGTATGCGAGCTAACAGTAATGGATATGACAATTTATACTTATATTTGCAAAGGGAAAGCCTGGAGCAGAAGATAAAACAGAGAACATCCGTATGTCTGTGTTTCAGATGCCCAGCTTTCAATGACCTTGCCAGAAAATGGAGGTTAAAGTAGGTGTTCAGCTATGAAAAGCTGAGGGGCCCTAAGCCCACCTGGCTTGGGTGAATCGCCAGCTTCTATTCAACCCAGACCACACTGGAACTCATTATATCTCTCAAAACCCAGACCATTGCTGGGCAGATTTTGCAGCTGCCGACTGCAGAGATAATGGAATTAGGCTCGTTGATGGAGTGGGGGAGGAAGGAGCAGGATTAATGACCTGAGCATGCTTACACTGTTTGTATTGCGATTTTCAGGACAGGACAATTGACTTGTACACAAAGGCAAATGAATGGTAAGTGAGTCTCCAGCAAGACCTGGTCCTGTAACTGGGAGACATTTGCACCTACACAAAGCTCATTTGAAATCAGCAGGGGTCCATGCAGGCTCAGTTGTCAGCAGAGGCGTGTTCATCTTTGGATTGCAGGTGCTTGTTTGCCAGGTTTTCCTTTTTCAGCGATGGAGAATTAAATCATGGGTCCCCTTTCCTCCAAGTTGCCAAGCTGTTAGCACAGCTCAGTAAGGAGATCTCCATTTGTGTGCGCTGTTACACCCACAGATGGAGAGGGCAGCTCCACAAAGAAATCACATTTCTGTGTCACACAAACAAAATAACACCAAGGCATGGTAGCTGTTTCCCTAATCAACTGCAGTGACTGCTGGCAGTGGTTATCTGGTTACAGGCACACATGGCAGGCACTACTGAAACATGAAAAATGATTTCTATGAGCAAGTAAAACCCAAAGTGTGTTGGAGGATCCCTGTTCCCATACCAGGACAGTACGTCATGTTCTGCTCTGCATTCCCATTTGCATTCTTGTTAGCAGCTACAGCAATTAGCAGAGGCCTGTCTGTGGTGTTGCCCTTTCTCATTTATGACATTATACTGTCCACAAACTGGTCTGTAAACACATACAAGCGTAGCTGGAGTTAACCGTGGCGAATAATAATATAATAATATTTGTGCCCTGGTCTCAGGACGCAGGGCCTGTGTTTCAGGCCAAGAGACCTGGACGCCCGCCTGGGGTTTGACCTGTGCACTGATGAACAGAATTTCCTGCAAAACCGGAGGAAGGTGGTTGCTGCTGCGCTGAAGGATGTTCTTCATCTGGAGGAAGATCTGCAAGACCATGAGGTAACAAGGAAGGGCGCTGTTGGGGAATTTTTCTCTCTCCTGTCCTTCAGGCCTGGAGATGAGGAGTGATTTCTCACCTCCATCTGGAGGAGTAAGGATCTCTGTCAGCAGCTCCTCCTTCAGGGCACTGTTTGCAGCCAGATTCATCTCGGCTAGAGAGCTCAGAAGTCTGGATGAGCAATGTCTCTATTTCCACTTCTCTTCCAAGTGAGCCATTTGAAGTATCTTCAAACCAATGAGTTTGGTCTGTGCTTCTTAAAAATCCTTCCTGAAGTGCCAAGATCTTCTAATATACCCCACAGCGACATCCAGCAACTTGTATCATTTCTATCTCACAGAGCAATGTTGCTTTACCTCTAATCCACGTGTTTTATTTTACTAGTGTGTGGATGTTGCTTTTACATGCCTGTCTTCTTTTGACACAGAAGTGCCTTAATGCCGCTTTTTCCACCTGTGCTTTCTGCCCTTCTTTGTGTTGAACAGGTGCCTATAGTGGCTGTGACCACAGCAGGGTGTGGGATAAGAGCACTCACTGCCATGTACGGCAGCATTTTGGGCCTTCAAAAGTTGCGTGTTCTGGATTGCATTTCCTACATCAGTGGCTCGTCTGGCACAACATGGTGAGGAGGCTTTTTGATACTGTGTTTTGGATCTTGTTGTGTTAAGCAAAGCCCAGGCTTTGTCTAGGTTTTTAGATCTATCTTGGTGAGTGCAAAAGGGGTCTAATTGAGTTATTGTTTCCATCTTTGGTCTGTGAATGCCAGGGTCACCCATGAAAGGCCTATTGTGCATCATTCATTTGTTGTCACTGAAGTAACTTATATCCAACCAAAAGAGGAGACTTCATTGGAAGTGCAAACATCCTTAAACCTATGCAAAATGATCCTTTATGGTTATTTACTGTTGGACAGAAATAGCATAGGCGGCTGGTGTCACTCCTTGCTGATCCCAGATGAAGTGACTTTTGACTGATTGCCTTTATACTTGTTTTTCTGCTCAAAGTAAGCTCAAAGAGGGGAGTAACCTAAAGATAAAACACTAAGTGCCCAAAGCTCTTCAAAGTATATCCTCTGAGCTTCAAAAGCATCTTCTTCGTTTCTTTCCATTTTCCATCATGTTTCCTGCCTACAGGACCATGACAAAGCTGTACGAAGATGCTGATTGGTCACGTAAGGATCTTGGAGAAATAATTATTGAAGCTCGGAAGCAAGCATCCAAGTGCAAGATGGGGGCTTTTTGCATGAGAAGCCTGAGGAATTATTACAGAGAGCTGAGCCAAAGGACCCAAGCAGGACATAAAACATCTTTTATTGATCTGTGGGGGCTCATGATTGAGTCCATGTTAAATGATGGGGTAATGTCTATATACCTTTCTTCTCATAAAGTTGGTGACTCGATCTTTATGACCATTACGAGAAATTAAAATGCTAGGAAGAGACACCTGGCCAATAGCATTGTACTTGGTATGTAGACAGAACACTGCTTATTTACATTAATAGCTTGGAGACATAGCATATGTCTACCCTGGAGCCTGAAGTGTGATTGAACATAACACAGAAATGCTCAGACTAGCTCTAAAGTAACCAGCATGCTAATTAACACTGTATTTTTGAGGTTCTTAAGTGTTTTTTATGGCTCCATGCTTTTATGTCCCCATTGTTGCAACATTTACACAAGCTGCAGTCATTTCTTGATTGTACTGCAGATGTACCCCATATATAGTTACTGCACTTTGTGATTTAGTGATGAGACAGTATATAGATCTTGAGACATCTTAGACACAGAAACTGATTTTGCAGGTGTTTTTCAGCTACTTTGGATTTGATGTCTCAGGACCTTCCATTCCTAATTTTGTTGTAATGACATAAACAAAACTTTATATGTAAACTAGCAGACTGATGATAGCTGGAAAAGAGCTATTTTATTTTAAAATTGTGTAAACATGGTTTATATTTTGTCTAGGTGAATCAGATAAAATGAAACACTCTCATTTGATGTCATATTTCCCCTTGTATTTCTAGCTTCAGTGCTACATTGAAAAATTTGCTAGAATTTAATTTGGCTGAAATACACTCAAAATCTCCATTTCATGGGTAAGATAAGTTGCTAGTATTGGACCACTCAAGGATTTTTCCTCTATGGATGTTAAGTCTCAATATGGTTTTCAAAAAAAATCTTGACTGGAAGGGTCATTAACATGCTGCCTTGAAGAAATCATATGTTTAACAGATGAAGTATATGATAACAGCTGAATTACCCAGGTCTGCCCTACTTTTTCACTTACATTTAACAATGCAAAGTTAGAATAGGATGGGAAGCAACTCATTACCATTGTTGTACGCTGAATATAGAACATGGCTGGTTATCTTAACTACAATTATTCCTGTTCCCACTATTTTCTTGCTGTCTTCTATTCAAGCACATGGAAGTAAATTTAGGAGGAAATCCAGCAAAATGATATTCCATATTCAGACTTTATAAGCTGATGTCTTTAACAAGCCAATTACCAGCTAACTTTTTTTTTCTTCCAAATCCAGAAATGCTACCACAGACTTTCTGATCAACGTCGGGCAGTGAACCAGGGTCAGAACCCACTGCCCATCTACCTTGCCCTCAATGTCAAGGACAAAGTCACCACCAAAGATTTTAGAGGTAATGTTTCAATTCTGGAAGAGAGCTATGTTTTTACCTAGGGAGATTCAGCATGGGGATGCTGTAAATAATGATGAATTGTTTTAAATTCTCACTCCAAGCCAGGAGAAGTAAAGAGTAAGTAGGTGCCCACAGGATAGACAGCAACAGTTCAGTATTTTGTCAGATCTTCTGGCGTGTAATTTTGCATATTCAGATGATAGCTTCAGACTAATAACACAACATAGATCTGTGACGCTGTCTCAGAAACAGTGTGAATTCTTAAAGAAAGAAGCTTTTAGTTTGCTTAATATATGTTTTTCATGGTTGGCTGAAGGCAATAAAAGCAATAGAAGTCAACCCATGTTCTAGTCCACCTTCCATGAGAAAAATTCTCACTTGCCAGACAAAGAGAAAGAAGAATTTACATTTTCCCTTAACCTTGACACCGTGCTCTCACAAACCTGCAGGCAGTGTGACAACTGGTTCAGTGGTGGCCATCAGCAGGGTTTGCTCAGCAAGGGCTGATGCCTGAAAGGTTTATTCCACGTCCAGTGGCTTGACTGTTTTTAGTAGTGGAGCTAACATTGATGGTGTGTGTGTGTTGGCAGAGTGGGTGGAATTCACACCATATGAGGTGGGCTTCCTGAAGTACGGCGCCTTCATTCGTGCAGAGGATTTTGGCAGTGAGTTCTTCATGGGTCGCCTGATGAAGAAGCTGCCCGAGTCCCGGATCTGCTTCATGCAAGGTGACTCACCAGCCTGCAGGACTTGCAAGATTTTAATAAAAAACACTAATGATTCTGGAAATTAGTCCCCCAAACCCTGTTGTTCTGCATGTGGCAGGAGAGGTACTGGGTCAGTCAGCCGAAATTCAGCATGTCTCCTGAGATTCACTCAGCTGCCCTTGCTAGCAAAGGTGGTTTTATCATTTGAACTGTATGAAAATGAAACTAAAAAGGCAAACAAGTTGTTATGTACCTTCATGAGTTCTTTCGGAGCATCAGCGTTTCCAATAGCTTGCAAAACATTTTGGAAGTTGGAAATCTATGAGGTTTTGTGGAAGTTGAAGGAAACATTCTTCATGAGAAGAAATAAATAGGGCAAGAGGAGGGGAGTCAGGGAAGAAGCTGTCTGAAAATATTCTTTTATTAAAGGAAAAATGAAGAAAGTAGGAAAACGAAAATTTCTCAAAACTTCTCAAAAAAAGTTCTAAAATGTTCCAGGTGAAACAAGGCAGAAGGAAAAATACTTTGAAATTTCTTCTGAAATAAGTTTGCCTTCTGAATCAGCTCTAACACCGAAATAGATGTCTGGACTTATGCAAAAATTGGATAGAAATATGAAATAGTTAGAGAAGCTTTATAGAAGGAGCAGAAGGGAGCTTTTAAAAGAACTTCCTTGTGTTTACCTCATCACTACTTATTATACCTCTCCCACTTCCTAGGAATGTGGAGTAGTATCTTCTCCAAAAACCTCTTGGACGCCTGGCATGCAGCTGACAATTCAGAGGACTTCTGGCACAGGTGGACCCAAGACAAAGTGACCGAAATAGGTAAATCTCAAGTACCCTTTGACTTATGGCCTCTCTCCTCCAGGCCCCTCTGATAGGGTAACTCTGCTCATATTTCTCTTTCTTTTTTTTCGAGGTTTTCTGTCATTCTGGTGCTCTCAGCCTCGGGGTATGGGAGGAGGCACCAGGAAAATCAAGTGATTTGATTTTACTGACTAGCCAGTGCTTTGCTTAAATAGTGAGATTATTATTAGAAGGGAAAGCACCATGAAACAGACTTTGATGCAAAGGAGGTGGGGATGGATGCATAAGGTGGCCCTGAAGTGTTGTGTTTAAAAGGTTTGGAGAGAACTTTTGACAAAGCCTCATGTCAACTATTTGTTAGCCAGAGAGAAGCTTGAGAGTTTCCCTTTCAATATCTATTCACCCCACACAGCACATCCCTCCCTCAAAATCTGACTGAACTGAAAGATTTAGTAGAGGTCAAATGAAGTCAATGTAATGGAGCTCTGTTACACCAGCTGAGAGAGGCATCTCCGTACTGAAAGACCATTCCTTGAAAGTACTGATGAGCAACTTCCTGTTAAAATTCAAGCAAAGCCAGTGATCTTGCAGTGAACAGATTTGAGTCACGTTTCTGTGGTCTATGTTTTTGGAAAAAAACAAACCCCAAATTCTTATGTCTGGGTTTATATAAATAATTTGCAAGTTTATGTTGAATTCAGCTGGCCACACCCAAACCAAATTGAACAAACTGCTTCTTTTAAAAGTAAAAATATTTGCTTTAAAAAAGAATGTACATATTTTTCTCTTCTTTTCAAAATAAGGTTTGAATTTCATATTTAACCTACACGGAATCTAAAAGCAGCAATTATCTCAAATGTATAATGTAAAAATGTATAAGTAAAATTATTTTTCCTGCTTTTATGTGTGCCAAAATCATGTTGTTTTATGAGTAAAATGCTCCTTTAGTCAAACATAGCCAATCAGTGTTTAGAAAACAAAAGTAGGTTTATATTTTTGTCAAGAAATTAAGCAGAACTCACAGTGGACCATAGGGAAAAATAATGCAATGCTGAGAGCTGCGAACACATGATGGCTATTGGTAGGGAAGAGTGGCTGACCCTTCTCCTCTCTGTGCCTAGCTTCCTCTTAATTGTGGTTATAATTCAATAGCATATCATTTATGCCATGTGTCTCTAGAGGAACAACCGGACCTGCCCGAGAAGCCATATGAGATGGCTACATGCATGTTCACTCCTACAAGTGGCCTCTCCACGACTCTCCGGGATATCCTGACGGACCGCCCTGCTGTCTCCAAGTACCACAACTTCCTGAGGGGCTTCCAGATGCACAATGAGTACATCCAGCAGGAGCATTTCATGAAATGGAAAGGTGTGGACAGCACTCCTACGTGCCTCAGTGGTCACTGGGATGGGCACAGGGGCTGGGATTTAGCCAGGGGCGTTTGTGCGTCCTGAAGAGAAGTTACAGGGCTTTGTGGTTACTGGTTGTTAAAAGAAGAGGAGGGAGAAAAGTAATCCCTCATATCTTTCACTTCCAGTAACACAGCTGTTCAATTTTTGGTACTGGAAGTCCTCACTGGGATGAAAATCACTCTGTAGGGTTCTGCACATATGGAACAGCTGCCTGGGTTTTGGTGCAATTCATGCCTTTGGAAACACCAACAGAATAGGAGTGGAGAGGTTGAAGAGAGCTTTAGGGTTGCTGCACGCTATTCTAAAGCAAAGGGAAAATCCTGGATGGGAGGGAAGTTCTCCTTCCTTTTGCTTTCTAACTTGACAGATATCTGTCTGCAGTTTGCTAATAGCTCTCAATCTTTTACTCCTTAGACACTTTGCTAGACACCTCTCCTAATGACCTGCGAGGCAACTCAGATCACCTGGAGTTGGTGGATGCAGCTTTCTTCTTTGAAACCAGCTGCCCACCCCTTATGAGACCAGAGCGGAAAGTGGACGTCATCATACACTTAAATTACACTGGTGGATCACAGACCGTGGTGAGAAGTCTCAGAACTGTCTCTGTTTAGTAATGGCTTTTCCTTTGCTTGCCACAATTTTCAGACAGGTGACTCTAAAATGTGGAACTCAGTGGAATTGAGTAATGTAGTGTTTCCAAACCTTAGAAGAAGAATTAAAATTCCCAGAGGGGAAAATATCTCTGCTTTTTTTCAAACTATTTATGAAATATCCCTTAGCGCTTCACCAATGAAATACAGAGCAGCACAGTGAAGTTATGACTGCTGAGCTGCAACTTCTATTACAATTATATGTAGGATTTAATAGTACAAATACAGCTGGAAAAACTTTCTGATGCAGATACTGAATTTAATCTGCATTTTCCTTAAATCTCTAAGATTTTATGTGTAATTTTATTTTAATATATAGTTTTCTAGCTGTCCAAGAACATCCTAGTAAGAGAAGAATTTCATCATCTTTATTTTTATCTTTTTTAATAAAAACAATTTTTCTCCTTAAATAGTGGGCTTGAAGCAAGATATTAAATGCATTTATTATGTTTGCAGTGTTTTGTTAGATAATGAAACAAACTTGGTCATCACAAATGAGCTTTCTGATAAATACTTTTAGTGCTATATTTTGAGGTCTAAAATACGTCAGTTTGAAATCTCCTATTATTTTTAAAATTCAAAGTTATGGAAATGGGTAAGCTGGTTTCAAAACCCTGCTAAAGTCTACTGAGGCCAACTCATAAATTATACTGCTATATAAACAGACGATGTGACTGAATCTTACTGTCTTGGACTGCAAATTTAGTTTTGTTTAGATCTGTATTTTTCAGACTTAGCTCTCCTTTGATCAGTGATGCTCTATAACATGCTTTGAATTCATCTCTTCTGTTCCTAAACCATATTCCCATTTTAGTGACGTGTGTTGCTACATATTTAAATCCTGTTTACCATCTTATGTTAGGTGTTTTCCTGTAAGGCTATTTCCAAATAGCTTCTCAGACAAGAGGAAAACAGTCCCTGGGGCTGCAGGTGCTCACGTTATTGCCAGCTGTCCAGTGCTATCAGTCTATTTTGTGCAATTTGGCATGAGCTACTGGGCTTTGGCAGCAGCCTGATCTTGGGTATCTTTTCCATTCCTTACACTGCTGCTGTTGGGCCACGTCCAGCCCCTGGAGCAGGCCTGCAGGTACTTCTCGGAGCAGGGAATTCCATTTCCCAGCATTGGGCTGAAGGACGATGAGAAGAACCTGAAGGAGTGCTACGTGTTTGATGGTGCAGACACCCCGGGAGCTCCTCTGCTGCTTTATTTTCCATTAGTGAACGACACCTTCCAAAGATACGTAGCGCCTGGTAAGTTGAAAGTACCCAGGTCATTTTATTGACCCAATGAACTTTCTCACTCCCTGGGTGTTTTTTCCTCATCCTAATCCAAAAATTGTTTTTTTGCCTGTAATGAACTTTCTCACTCCCTGGGTGTTTTTTCCTCATCCTAATCCTAATCCAAAAATTTTTTTTTTGCCTGCTCCTGCTAGTGAATACATTGCAAAATGGGATGACACAAAGTGTTTGCAACATCAGGTGAAATCTGGTGCATAATTTTAGTTTGAGTCTTGGTGTAATTCAGTGAAAGATGAAACTCAAGTAGAGTTTCCTCATTCCTCAAGTAGAGGAATGGGAATTAATTTCTTCTTGTGATCTTTAGTGTGTAGAACAAAGCATGTTGTTCAGATTATGTATTTTTATGACAGTCAGATCTAGGGGAGAAATACTTGTACAGTATAGAGTGGTTCTATGGAGGGCCACTGTGCTGTCTGTTTGGACAGTTTAGTACGTTGGCTGTACATGCTGGAAAATCAAAACCATAGTACATAAACTAATACTGTCACGTTGTCCTTTTGTGCTAGTATTTGAGATGCAGGCTTTTTTTTTTTTTTTTAAATGATGATTTCTAGGGCTACTAATATTCTGCTTCCTCCTGTACTATATATCTCCTTATTCCTTTTGCCTTTATTATGTATTCTACTCAAGAACCAGCAGAGTAAGACTTCAGCACCTGTGACCACATGAAATGACATTACGTGAGCCAGCCAGTAGAAGGGGCTGGTTGCAATGGAATGATGTTTAGTGACACTATTTTTTAATTTCAGTAGGCTTTGTTCAGAAGTAGATTTTTCAGAGATCACAGCACTGCACTTGCCTTCATAGTAATTGCATCTGTGACCTCTCTAAATCATTTGTGACATAGTCTAGTGTAGTGTAATTCCCTGGGACTATAAAAACACCCTCTTTTTTTTTTTTTTTTTTTTTTTTTTTTTTTTTTTTTTTTTTTCCCCTTGACAGGCATGGCACGTAGTGCTGCTGAAATGGAACAGGGCAAGGTTGATATCTCCAGTTTCCGCTCTCCATACTCAACGAGGGAGGTCTCGCTGAAAGCAGAAGATTTCAACAAGCTCCTGAAACTGGCTAATTACAACATCATGAACAACGAGAACATGATTCTTCAGGCCTTGCGCACGGCTGTGGCACGGAAGAAACAAGCCACGAGCCAGCCAGCATCACAAGCACAGTCTTCTGATTGAACAGCATTTTTGTCTCCTTTACTAAATATTTACCATTACAGCACATATGAGATAGCTACTTCACTGCTCTTGGCAGGTGCCATCTCCTTCTGACTAAGTAAACGTCTCAAAAAAGAAAACTTGAAGTATTTGTTTCAAAGCCACGTGGCTCAGTTTACTAAGCACTAGTTACTTTTTGGTCTGGAGTTGTGATACCAAACACAGCCGCTTATGTTGTTAACACCATCTCACTGTGATGCTCAAGAGGCAAAGATTCAGCTGTGTGTGATGGGGGAAGTAGTTTTAGCTCTGTCTCTGCAATCTCTTATTTCTTGGTGGCTGTTCGCTAGTATTTCTTCATCTGCAGAATATTCTGGTATTTTGTTGGGACCGTTGGTATCAAATCCATAAAACCCTCTTCAGACACTGAAGGTAGTGACCCTGCAGCATCAATTTACATCATTCTACTTGGTTTAAATAACTTGAATTAAATGGTGTTCTACCTTTTAAGAGTTTTGTTTCCCAGGTACTTTTTTGTCATGATCTTTCATGAAAAATATATACATATATCTTATGAAGGATATTCGATTTTCCAAACTTGTGTTGAATAACATATGTACGGATGGTGGCCTTTCAGGTCTTTGATGACTATTATTCTCATCAATTAAATCAAACTTATGAATCGGTTGTTTGAAGGACCATTGCCATTTCCTCTCACAATTAACTGTTCTGTCTCAGATCACGTGTGTGTGCTGCAGTCGTCTCCCTGAAATGCAATTTTGCTTCAGCATCCTCTGGACCTTGTTCAATGTAGTGAATTGAAATTTACTGAAACAAGTAGCATGTGAGGTGGATTGTAGGAACACACAGAACCACACTGGAGAAATGGAGAAAGATTTCAGTGTTCTGTTCACTGCATCACAGTTGTTAAACAACCATAAAATGTAAAATACAGCTGCTAGATACGCTAGTAGAAATTAAGTTTATACGATTGCCACAGTCTAACTAGATTTTTGACAAGTACATTGAAGTGCAGTGGCTGAGGGGAAAAAGCTGGTTTATACACACAAAAGCATAACAGCTCTCAAACACCAGTGCAGCTGCCAAAGGACAGAAGAAATGCCCATCCTGGGAATGCACTAAATGATGCCTGCACACATCTGATAAAGGACCTGGTAAAAAGCAGCACTCCTCTTCAAGCTGTACAGGAGAACGGTTTATAACACAGAAAACAATTGTGTGTCATTCCCAAGAAGCAAGAGCCTTGTCCAACCAAAGCATGGATGTTGATGAACCATCATTGCATACCTGAATGTGGATATATAGTAGAATAAATATCTTGCATTTCTTCCTCTTCAGCTAATGACACATTTCATAATCCTTTGTCCTTTCGGACAGGTTTTCAGATGTTACAAAAAAATATTAACTGTTTGGACTAAAAAAGGAAAAGCCCAGGTGTTTTGAGGAGAAGGGAATCTACTCAAACACACTAAAGGCCAAGAAAGGTCCAACAGAGAGACTTCTGTTTCTAGTGTGACTTATTCCTCAGAGGCAAGTTACTCAAGAAAGATGCGATCTTTTCTAAAACCAGAGCTGGTTTAGAAGCTGGTTTTTGTTGTCTTTTTGGTCACAGCCCCACAGAAGTGTTGTGAAAGAAAGACAGGTGCTGTCAGCTGGAATTTTGTCAACAGCCAGTCAGAATGAGCCTTACAGGAGTCTCTCACCTCCTTGCATAGCCTGGCCTAAAAGAAGTAGGCAACAGCTACAGAAGAGTCTTTTCTCTCCACAAATTTCCCAAGAAGTTAGTCACATAGACAATTTCAAACTTATCTTCCAAAATCCTGTCCATCGTTTTATCTGAGAAGCCACTGATCAGCTCAAAGTAAGATACCCAAACTGTAAATATGGGCATCATGACAGAATCCTTAATGCCCACCAGAGAGGCTGTCATCATATTTGTCAGAGTCCTCCTGTTATTGCAAAGAGATCTGGGTATTGCCTCAGCTTCACAAAGTCTGTGGGCTCCGTGAGGTACTCTGGTTCAATTTCACTTCTCAACTGTTGGCCCTCATTGGGGATTTTTTTCATCAGGATTAGATGCTTGACTTTGCCTGGGGATTTTTTGATAATAAATGGTGAGCATCTCCTCCTTCCTGGTTTTACCAGCCTCAGACTGGTCAGAAAACATGTATTCCTGAGAAAAGGGAAACAGTTCTCTGCAGATTACAGCCTGTTCCATCTTCTTTATGTCCCTTGTCAGAATTTGTGATGCACCCTAAAATCTCAGATAATCTGAACCAAACCAGGAATAGCAGTTTCTCAGACAGTGGCATGGTGTTTTGGGCTACTGGATTCTCCATTTGCTGTATGTTCACCTTGGATGCCTTGTCCCAGGTGCCTGCGCTGGAACTACTGCTAGGTCCCCTTCAAGCAGAGGCACTTGCCAGTGTCTGGGATGGGCTCCCTCCAGCTCCATGCTTTGCAGCACTTACTGTGGAGGAAACTCCTGCAGAGCGTGCCTCTTGGGTAGGAAAGGTGATAGACTCCTAGAGATTGGCCCTCCCTTTTTCTTTCCTTAAGTTATTCAAGAAGTAGTTATTTCTCAGCTGTTTTAGGGTAAGCCAGTCACCCCCTACATCCTTCTCTACCTCAGCAGGACTCTCCTCAGTGTTGTTTAGTTAGAATTGTTGGGGTTTTCTGAGGTTTTGTTGGGTTTTTGTGTTTTGGTTTTGTTTTTGTTTTTTTTTTTTTTTAACCTGTGGGCAGACATCATCTTCCATAGTCTTCATTCCTTGGTCAGACTTTCTCAGGGAAATGGCTCAGGTAACATCAGTTCAGATGCTGCAGAAGGTAACAAAACAGTCCAGGTTTAGCCAATTTCATATTAGTTTTCTCAGTTTGGGGATAAATAGCCAAGGCTGCTTGTCTGATTGAGGATTGTCTTGTCTGATTGTCTTTTTTGCTGGACACAATGTTAATGGGAATGTTATCCTGTGTCGTTCAACATCTCTTTATTGCAAAGGTATTGAGGGTAGATTTCTAATCCTGAAGTGATTGATGACTAAAGTCATTTTCATTCAGGGAAAAGTTGTAAGGCCAGAACTGGCTCTCTTTATTGTGTGTTTTCATGAAAGGGATGGGTTGTGAGTACCGAGAGGATAGAGTATCACCTAGAGTTTTCAAGTGGTCATTTCACATTGTGTGTCTGGGCATGTTAGTAGCTGGACCTGGGCAAAGGCTATTCACCTGTGTATCTGCTGCTGCAGTTTTCTGCCAGAAAATTGATAAGTTTGCTGTCATTTTTTTAATCATAATTTGATGATACTATCTTGGTTTACTCAGAAATTTTGTGTTTGTGGAAGGGTTCTGAAAGCAGGAAAATGTATGTCTACCTGATAAGTATCCAAATGAAACTGGAGAAACATATACCAGCAAGCAACTCAAACCTCTCTACCTCCAAGAAAAGGAAAATAAAGAACATTTTATTGAAATAGAAGGTCTTTTAAAGTTATTTAATCCACAATACTTTTGGTTGTCAATTGGGGTGCTGTAGAGCTCTGTTTTCCTCCAGCCTACATATAGCTTCTATTATCTTCTCTGATTTGTGCATTGCTTAGGCTGCCAGGTCGTTGGTATCCATGAATAAGTGCTATGTGTTATCACTCCCTTATCTTGAATTGCTAATAACTCTTGGCACCTTGGTGTGTACAGCCTTCCCCAAAAACCACACCTCTGGTGTTTAGCTGTCAAATAAGCTCAGCAAATTCCCTCCCCTTCTCCCTTCATACTTTCCCTTTCAGGCAATGAGGAAGGTGGGGCATGGATTAGCCACTGGGTCCTCAGCAGGTGCCTCCTTAAAGTTCGCAGAGGTACTTGGTGAGTCACTGGCAGCTGTTGTCTCCAGCAGTGAAGTGACATTCGTACCTGACTTGTATGCAGCAGGGAGCACGATGGGATCGTACTGGAGTGCTCGTGAGGTAAGAGTGTGAAAATTCGGACCATAACTCCTTAGAAGCTGAAGATGACCTGAGGCAGGCTTGGTATTGGGATTGTGGTGCCTAGAAGAGGACTTGGGAGCTGTTAGTCCAAATTATTTTACTTATTTATTTATTTATGTCAGTATGACTGATAGTTTTGCTGCTATTGACTGCCTTCTGGAGGAAGCACTAAAACTGCCTGTTGGACCCCAGGGAGTCAACATACTCTGTTCTCAGCTCTGAAATTAACCTGCTGTTTAACTATGAGCAAGTTATTTAATCAATCTGTGCCCTGCTTCCCCTGTTGTAAAATGGAGATTACAGAGCTTCTCTCCATAACATGGACGTGTGTTAACTTTAGTGTGCATTGGTGTTTGGAGACCTCCAGTGTGGGGTCCTCATGGCTTAACAAACGATAAGCGTGAATGCCTAACCAAACTGGTTAAAGAAACACTAAGGATCTACTGGTTCATCCTTTTGAAAGGAGGCGAGAGTAATGAACAGAGTCTGGCGATGGTCTATGTGTGGGAAGTACGCGTAAAAAGCAAGGAACAGTACTGTCATCTCTCCTCTTCCCCTTGCCTTTTACCACTGAAACAGCCTCATGGGACAGAGTAAATGTAGAGGCTTCTGGGTGATGAGGGGGCAGGAGAATAATTCCATCCAGAACCTGAATCCAGACAGAAGACATTAAAACATGCCCTTCTGTTTTGGAGCCAGACATAAAATACAGACTGAGGTCAGTTTATCATATTGCAAGAGTGATAGAGGAGTCTGTATCCAACTTCTCAGCTCGGTCAACTCCTAACTGGAAGAAGAGAAGTGGCATAATCCCCCTAAAAGGATTTAATGGAGTAATTTTGCTAGCAGAGAGTGGAGGGGAATTAGTGAAGCAATAGCTAAAGTTTCAGGTACTAAAACCTGCAAGAATGAATAATTTGTTTGGGTTCTGTCTAGTTATTTGTCTTTCCTTCGGTGCTTGATGTTTCAGCTAATGATCCTTTCTACAAATATCCAGCATCTGGTTTGGGTGGGGAAGTTTCATTAACATCTCTTGCTAAGCTGTTTTCTTTCATGTAGGTGCTGCTGCATTTTGCCAGTGGTGCCTCACTCACTGACCAGTTTCATTTTCCTTTGTGGTCACGATGATTTTGAACATAGCTAAGACATTGAAGCCTGCAGTATCATGATTATATTATATTATAGTGTTATTTCTTCCATTAATAACGTACATACATAGAATAACATTTCCTCTTTTTTTAACTCTACATAGACGTGATTTTAACTTCCAAAGCAGTGCAAGTAGTTTATCTTCCAATTTTTCTGCACAGCTTTGAAAACTGCAACATACACTTAGGGCATGTTTTATGAAGCGTGAGCAACCTAATATTCATCTGGGTAAAAACTTTCTCATTTTTTTCTGCAGACTGAAGAATGCCCGTGCT